TTCGAAGATTACCAAAAGTTGGGTACCCCGAAAAAGGTCTTGAGTTGCGAGGCTTATCACGATAGATGAGGAAAGGTGCTATAGAAATTCGGATTTTTACGATGCATTAGGATTTGATACAAATATGATATAAACTGCCGACAAATTGCGTTTAGAATGTTACAAATTTTAAAAGTTTTCAAAATGTTATTTTAAATTAATGAAAAATTGCTATAAATTGACTTAAACATTTCACTAACTTTACTACTACTCTGGTCTGGAAAAATATGTTGCATACCTAAAAGGCGTTTGTATTTATTAATTCTTTCAATTTTTTTTTAACATCAGAAGGAAAAGAAACAACTTTTTAAAAATAGTAGATGTTTTCCAATTATATTTTATTGAAAATAAATATTTTTCAATGCCTTTTTAGGTAATTGGTTATTGGTCTAATATTTCTAATAAACTTAAAATTTATAAACGCGTAATTTGTAGCTAGGGAAAAAATAATCAATAAGGGCTGCTCTCACTCACTGCCTGTCTGGTTTTAGACTGATAAAAGGGGTAAATTCTTCGAATACTCCTAGGATTGTTAAACAATATGATAGCTTTTTACCCTTAGGGGAAATGTGTTTCTCTATTATTCTATTTGTAGATCACTTCACTTTCGGATTGACAAACAGTCAGTCTGGTATCTCCGTAGTTGCTTATCAAAGCCGGAGCTGCAGCCTCGACGCCTCAGACAGCGACAGAAAGAGATGCAGATAGAGGGGTAGAAAGAGATGCAGTTAGAGGGGGCGAAAGAGCCACGGATAGAGGGGCAGCAAGAGAAAAAGAGAGGACTGCATATATAGTGAGGCATTTATAATAGGTCGTTGTTGCTGATGATATATTGTCTTGGTTGAGTCGATTAGTAAGCGCCTCAAGCTAAGCCGTTCAAAGCACTCGCTTCTCTGACGCTTATCACAGATATTCTGAAAAACAGTCGGAAAATTCCGAGTTTTCACAGACATTTGTGGTAGCGATGAGTGGAAAACCGATGACGAAAGGTGACAGAAGGCACTTGAAGTGATTGGTTTGCTTTTTCGGTTGCTTGGGCCACAGCGCTGATTGATACTTCTGATTCAATTGAATATAATTTGCTGTCATTCAATACCATCGCATGCACAATCGCAGTCAGCTGGCCAGCCGTACTTTATACGGCGGAATTTCTGTGACGAAACGGAGCTCCAGCACCAGCCCCAGTTGCCCACTCATGGTGCACTTTGCCTCATTCCATTCCATTCCAATCCAATCCATTTCGAATGCCGCCCGATTGGCGTCATCATCGGACATCATCAACAGCGGCTTTGCAGAAACTTGATATAATTATGATGTGGCGATTCTGGTGACAACAAAGGGGTTAATTTTTGCTAATTGCTATACGCAGCGAATTTTGATTGAATGTAAACGGTAGTGATACAACTGAAACGATCATTATTTGAACAGTTTTATCAGACTATGTTTTTAGATGACAAATCAAAACAACAATATCTTTTGCTTGATTTTATGGCATATAACGTAGAATTTGTTTTAGTTTGCACTAAATGGCTAAAGACTTAAAATCATTATTTTTATCAGACTAACACCTATTTATGACCAAAGAACTTTTCAGCTACATCAGATTGCATCTGAAATTGAATTTTCTTTAAGTTATATTTAAAGGCTATAGACTTAATTTCAGTTTATTGAACGACATATATTTTAAATTATAACACCTCATTTTGAAGTCGATTTTGCTCTGAATATAACAGCACATATTGCAATATTTCTAAAATATCTGATTTCGATCACAATTTTTGTGTTGCTAGAACAGAAATGTAAGACTTTTTATACCCTATATAAATGAAGTCTTATTTAGTGAATAATCTGAGCTTCATGTTATTGCTGGAATATATTTCACTTATTCTCACCAAAACAACAGATTCTCCCGGTTTTTCATTGATCCGAAACGTCATCTGGTTGGTTCCTTGAAATGGGGTTGAGAGATTGCGTTAAGTGCAATTACAAAATATGTTTACGAAAACGCATCTGTAATCTGTGTAACTATATGTGAACGCGCGATCAGGACATGACGCATATGTTTTGGTTTGAATGCAGGGCCCAACTGATCCGATCCAAGTGAATCACAAGCACATACACAACAAACACAACAAATGTCCCCACAATCGGCAATCCGAATTCGAATCCAGCAACTGCAACAGTTGCTGCTATCCGAGAGATACATACGTTTCCTGGGGTGTGGTGGTGATGAAAATAGTGTACAAACATCAGTAAGAGTGGAAAACAACGGAGAAAGAGATAGAATTGAAGTAAAATGCATGTCATGTTCGAGCTGATGGCTGTCGCTTTTCCCGGCCACATGTGGCGTCCCTTGCCGGTTGCAATTTCCAAGGAATTATGAAAATTAGCCAAGCCAAATGCAAGCCGCTATCCCGGCGCTTTTTGTTTTCCCTTTTTCTCGATCTTCTGGTGCTGCGTTAAGTGAATTTTGTGCGAAACTTATTATTTTATTTGCATACATTTTTATAGAGACAACACACCGAAGCATGAACCCGAGCTCGCGGCCTCCGTATCCATGGGATACACATGTGATTTGCATGTGCGGTTCGTCATCGACTTCATGATCATGATCACTTGTTGTCGGCTGACTCGACGGACTGCTGCCATATGAATGCAATGATGACGATGACGATGGCGGTGGCAATAATGACGATTATGGTATTCATAATGTTTGACTGCAATTTACTATTTACACTTCATTTAGCGGCGACAACTTTAAGTGAAATGTGTCCACATTGGCTGAGTGGTTTGCTCGCTTTCCTGTATCTGTGCGATACTCGGCGCGGCGATCTCATCTCCTGCGTGAAACAATAAGATATAATAGGCATCGCAATTGAATAAAGCGCCCGCAGCTCTAGCTAATTGGAGAATTAGCTCAAGTGTGAGGATAGTTTGGACAAGTGGATTGTGTAAGGAGCAAATCTCGGGAATGGGTTTTCTGAGTTCTACTACAGCCAAGTACTCGACTCAAAAAGCTTTTCCCTCCAACCCCTTGGAGTAGTGCGACTTGGGTTCTGAAGATTAAGTTTCTGTCTTGGTCAGCAGTTCATTTCATTTCGGAAAACTAAGTAATATTTATATAAGTACAGAGTTACAAGATACTACAAAAATGCACCAGTAAGTATCATGGTTTGTAATAAATACATGAAAATAGTATATTTTTAAGACAACAAAAGTCAATTTCGAAGGTTTCCCCTTTTTCCTTTTTTTCAAATCAACAAATTTAATACAATTTAAATTTAATTTAATCCAATGAACCTTTTCGAAACCCACTTCTTGGCAATAGTTTTGAAATGGAAACTAGCTTATCTGGCGGCCATTCTCAGTGTTCTTTATCCCATATATATACGGATATGTGCTTGGCGATTGCGAAACGCTTCTAGACCTCAAGCAAAGTGACTTATTTGTTTACTTTATATCACATGTGACGCAAGGCACTTCTTGAATTATCTACCATGGAAATTAATGAATGTCCAAGGCGGATATCATAATGATAGGCACAAGAAAAAGATAGATTTATGTGGGCTATTTCGTTGGTTTGTCTGCCATGGCGGCTAAACCATCTCAGATAGCGGAAAGCGCTCTTTTTAATTATACCGCTTGACCCAGAACGAAAACGAACCAGAACTAAATAAAAAAAAAGTCTCAATGAATCAAACGCCGGAGATTTGCAATAGCCGAGCCGCCGAAGGCGAATGCAAATCAATGGAGTTCGTGTCTGGGCGATAACCTCCATATCATATCAGCAGGGTGTGAGAATCGGGCGTTCCGTTCTGTCTTCAGTTGATATACATAGCAATAGCATATGGCGGCCCGGGCCCCTGAACCTCTCCCATGAATAATACCACGGAATTACAGGAGGCATAAATAGGTACGAATTTGCCTTCAGCTGCGAGTAAAAAAAAAGAAGTAAATGCACTCGACTAAGGTGACACAAGCCCCATTTGAAGCCTGAGCTAAAGCTATAGACAGCCCGGCTGATCGTCTCTATAAATATTCAACAATGTGGGACCGGCTTGTAAGCTGGTTAGGTATACGTATATGTATATAAGCCCGGTACTTAGTCGCTTTGTGTGTTTGTCATTGCGCATATTTAACCCTTCGGGGTTAAGTTAAACATTACGATTACGTTTCGCAGCGCTTAAATTTGTGCGCGTTTCCATTGTTTTTCACAGCCCTTTTGGCTGGCATTTTTGCTTTTTCCATCTGTGCTTCGCTTCAATTGTAACTTTAATTCCAACATCAGCGGTTGCAGCAGCGCCAGCAAATTTTCCTAATCAATAAACAAATTAAAAACATTTATAATGATTGCTGGCCCCGCTTATCGGTTGAAAAGCGGTCTTATCAAGGCCACGACGCTCTATTTATAATACCACTGCCGGCCTATTAGATTTGGACATGATTTTGCTACCACACGTGCCACGTGTAGAGCGTGTTGTTCGCATCGGTTTGCTTAAAATAAATATGACTTATTAAACTTTAAAGCTTTAAAACTTTACAGTTGAAAAATAATAAAAGTATGTATAAACGAATCGTTTAAAACTTTCTAGGAAAAGAAACATTATTCAATTATTTTGTCTAAATTACTCTTAAACTTTAAACTATTGCAATCCATTAAAAATTTTCTTAAATCGATTGATTTCCAGTTTTTAAATCTTCAACGTTTTAGGGAAGAAATTAAATACATTTATTTACCTATTGTTCTTAAAAAAATATTGGTAATAAAGTACTATTCTAAAAAAAGAAATATTTATGACAACATTGTAGAGTTTTGGTTAGATTTTTAATTGGCTGAACTGTCATTTTAAAACATTCTGATTTCACACTAATTTTATATTTATATAAGCCCTATCAACTAAAGTAAAAAATTCTAAAATAAAAGGTAAAATCATAATTAAAATTTAAGGGACTAAACATACCAGGCTCTTGAAGCTCCTGCTCCATTTTCTCCACCTTGTTCACCTTCATTAGCTGCTGACCATCCGTAACGCTCAGGTCCTGCGGATGCTTCATGGTATGGTTACTTTTTATTTACAAGTTGGTCGAAGGAATTCCAATCACATAGTCGTATAGTAACGCCCGGCAACTGTAAGTTGTAAAAATAATCGATTAGATGTCATATATCAATCTATTGGTGCCTAAACCCTCAAAACGCAAGACGAACACATTAAAGTTTTAATGATGGGCCGCTGCTAATCTAACTGAAGTATCGCCGGTAAATCTACAAATATATGAATGTATATGTCGTTAGTGCACACACAATGTAGGTGTCAACTCGAGTGCCCGACAACCGAACACTTTTCGTTACATGGCCCCCAACGGATATTTTTAGTAGAGTGGGGTCATTTGTTTTACGATCCCATATCAGCAGTATGCCAGACACACCTGTGTACTAGGCATAGCGCTTATTGAACTTCTATAAACCAAAGCAACACTCCAAAAAAAGAAAAGGTTATACAAAAACCCCAAAAAAAATACCGAAATCATAATCTTCAACGCTTTATTGACTGGCCCAGGGGCAGATAAAAACACCCATTGCGGCAAAAATGGGAAGGTAAAAAAAAAAATTCACTCACTGCCGATAGCGCTGAAACAAAATTTCTGACTATCAGACATTTATTGTTTCTTCTGGCCATTTACCATTATGTGAATTTGTTTTTCTCGCCCGATTTTTTTGCGATTTTCGCTCGAGTGCTAGAACAGCCGATAAGCCCCATGGCTCTATGGGTTCTGTCGCACTAGGTTTATTTTCTTACTCCCCCCGGATTTCCCTTTAGTTTTTCCCCATTATCGCTTATCGTGGTGCCACTGACGCAGACCTCCTTGGCTGAATTGTCATTTTCTCACCTTTGAACTCTCGTGAATGTCGCGAGTCGCTTCAAGCAATGCCAAAAATAATAAATCTAAGGCTAAACTGAATGAACAACTCTGTATCTAAGTTTTCGTAAAAATGCTGATAAAGTTTGCCTTAGAATAAGACCGATTACTTATCCGTTATTCTACCTTGAAACTGCCAAATTTAAAGATACCCTTTTATTCATAGGAAAAACCAACCTATATGAAAAGCTTTTTGTATTTTCAACAAAATTTATCTTTTCAACAAAGAATTATTTATTATTTCTATCTTCGTTTTTGCTTTACATTAGAGATAAAGAACATTAAATTAATGCCTTAATACGTTATTTTTTAGCTTATGAATACTTAAAAATGAAAGGACAGTAATCGTGGGAGAGGTACCTCTATGTAATACAAGTTATTATAAACTAAATATTATACAGAAATCGGATTTTTAGTTTTTGATAATAATAACTTTTACTCAGAGGGTTTGACAATGTCTTAATTTAATTAAAGCTCTTGTCGGTAACAGAGGTATAGTACAAATATTATATAGAAACACATTTGGTTTGCTCAAATCTTCCTTTGCCTTACGTATTTTAAAATAATTGATCTCAGGTGTTCTTAGAACTAAACTTCATTTAAAGTTGACACATTTACCCGATCAGAATCACTCACACATCCGCTTTTGCTGTTCAAATCAATTTTGAAAAAAAAACTTCTCTGGATTCGTTTTTTTTTTGGTTTTTTGGAAATTTAAAGATCTAATTTCTGTGGCGATACCATTTAGATTTAAAATTGAAAAATGTGTTCCCGCGATCCGGCCACCAATCAGTTGATCGACTACAAGAACAACGACTCCGAGGTGCAGAAGGAGATCACAACCTCCAGTGGGGTTCCGGTGGGCGTTAAGGATGCTACACAGACGGTGGGTCCAAGGGGTCCGGTCCTGCTTCAGGATTTCCAGTTCCTCGACGAGATAATGCATTTCGATAGGGAGCGAATTCCCGAACGAGTGGCTTATGCCAAGGGAGCTGGGGCCTTTGGCTACTTTGAGTGCACCCATGACATTTCCAAGTTCTGTGCTGCCACCGTTTTCGATAAGGTAAAGAAACGCACAGCCATCGCCATGAGATTTTCGGTGGCCTGTGGGGAGCAGGGTTCTGCGGACACGATCCGAGAACAGCGTGGCTTCGCCGTAAAATTCTACACCGACGACGGCATCTGGGACATTGTGGGCTGCAACATGCCGGTGCATTATGTGCGGGACCCATCGCTGTTTCCCAGCCTGGTCCATGCTCAAAAGCGCAATCCGCAGACCCATCTAAGGGATCCCGACATGTTCTGGGACTTTATGACCCTCCGTCCGGAGACGCTGCATGCCCTGCTCATGTACTTCAGTGATCGCGGAACACCTGATGGATATCGCCACATGCACGGCTACGGAGTTCACACCTATCGCATGATCAATCCAAATGGGGAAACACAGTACGTCAAGTTTCACTTTAAAACGGATCAGGGCATCAAGAATCTGGACAGCCGACGATGCGACGAACTGATGTCCCACGACCCGGATTATGCAATCAGGGATCTTTATAACTCGATCAAGAAGGGAAACTATCCCAGCTGGTCCATGTATATTCAGGTAGGAACTTAAGCAACAACGGGGTGAACAGTAAACAATTGAATAATTTAAAACCTTATTCTGTAATATTATTCTATATAATGGTAATTGATTATTGTTCTCTTAAAATGTTCACATATTTAATTGTATTTGAAAGCAATTAAAATTGCAGTATTACTAATATAACAATTACTATGTATAGGAAATTACCTATTACTTATACCACTACTTATTATTTACAATTTTTAGTAAAAAAAAAATTGTATAAAGCCTTTTACTTTATAACCTAAAACTTTTGCCTAACATATATGTTTATATATAGATCCAGAATATCTTAATATGTATGTATACTTTGTAGGAACAAAGTAGTATGTTAAAATATAGCCTAGACCGTACCATATATCACTTTATCAAATACCTGCTATACCTTACTAAAAGCATTACCTAATACGATCTTTAAACTTTAGGTAATGCTCAATGAGGAGGCCAAAAAGTGTCGTTTCAATCCGTTCGATGTGACCAAGGTGTGGCCCCAAAAGGACTTTCCCCTATTACCAGTTGGCAAACTCGTCCTTGACCGCAATCCCACCAACTACTTCACGGAGGTAGAGCAGCTGGCCTTCAGTCCGGCGCACATGGTTCCGGGAATCGAACCCTCGCCGGATAAGATGCTACAGGGTCGTCTATTTGCCTACGGAGACACGCAGCGCTACCGCTTGGGCGCCAACTACATGCAGATACCGGTCAATTGTCCCTACAGGGTCAATGTGCGAAACTTTCAGCGAGATGGCCCGATGACGGTGACTGACAACCAGAGCGGGGCTCCCAACTACTTCCCCAACTCGTTTTGCGGCCCCAAGGAAAGTCCCCGGGCGTTGGCCCTGCAAACCTGCTGTCCGTTGACCGGAGATGTCTACCGATATATGAGCGGCGACACAGAGGATAACTTCAGTCAGGTCACCGACTTCTGGACCTATACCCTGGACAATTGCGGCAGGAAGCGACTCATTCGAAACTTGTCCGAGCACCTGACCGAAGCCAGTCAGTTTCTGCAGGAGCGGGCCGTAAAACTCTTTACCATGGTCCACTCTGATTTCGGCCGGTTGATGACTGAAGCCCTAAACACGGCCAGAATATCCAAGTTTTAGAGTTTGTCGCAGTTCAGTGATTTTACAAATAGTTTAAGGGTACTTTGGAAATATGATGTAATCAAAATTAGAAAACTAGAAAAACATGTTTCGGTTAATGTGAATGTACTAAAATCAGAGGTTTCCAACTGAACGGTCTTATTGATGGTTTAACTTTTGAAGTCGAATATTTAATTCTTAAATGAAAAAAAGGTCTCATAATCTAACCTTCTGGTGAATGTTTAGTTTACAGATACTGAATTACAGAAGTTACTTTGTTTGATGGCCACATAAATCTTAATAAGGAAATGGGGTTTACTTTTAATACTTTTGAGTATCAACTTCTCTGACCTTATATATGAGATTATAACATTTTGTTGCCCCATTTGGGTAAAACTTAGTCTTAGAACGTTTAAGCTGAACAAAAAAGGGGATATGTTTTTTACATCTATTTAGTGGACTTGAATTTTAACATGCATACTCTTGGGAGTTGGCCTTGGCTGCTGGCGAACGATCGTATACCTCGCCCATCTGGTTACCTAAGTAATCTGTTGGCTGTGATTATCCAACCCGGATGATTATGCGCTTTCGAAGACCTCTCCGCTCCGCCACCCATCGAGATCTGTCATTAGCTAGCCGCTCTGTTTACATGCTACTCACGTGTCTGTGGGTTTCTGTACTTGATTGAATACACCCAGATACAGTACAATCCATATTTATAATTAGTTTATTTAATATTTTTTTTTTTAGAAAACCAAATATATGGTACTTATCCGGAACAGTGCATTAAAGATGGGAATTGTATAGCCTTACAAAAAGTTAATTAAAAAAAAAAATTGAAAATTAAAATATTATTTTAATTTTAGTAAACGTTTGGAAACATCTATAAAGGAAACATGATTTCGACCCTATAAAGTATATATATTCTTGATCAGCATCACTAGGAAAGTCAATGTTTCTATGCGATCTACCCTCTCTATTGTAAAGTTATAAGTTATAGCAAAAAGTATATACAGCCCGGATGGGATTTTCAATTTGCTTATATATTCTTTGAGGTATAGTAATAGTTGTGGTAAAGGTTTTAAATTTATTAAAATCGATATCACATAGCTGTCATAGCAACGATAAAAAATTCAGCGGAAGGTCGACATTAGGTTTAGTGTTTTTAAACACAAACGAAATAGATCCGTTTTTAAGAATATTTCATTTTTGAAATAGTTTCAAAATTGAAAAATAAATTTAATTTAATGAATATTCATATATAAATTTGAATATTTAACTCTGATTGTTTTTGCTTTTTTGTAACGCACTGTATACAGCGCACCATTGATATAAAACCGAAAAGCTTGTCCAACTCGAATGTTTTGCAAATAGTAAATAATCGGCGGCAAAGGCAAATGTAGTAGATGTTGCCAACTAACTGGTTAAGCGACTTGAGCGCTGTAACTAAGAACACAATAAACTTACTTAAAGCTCAATAGCCAGACGAAGTTCTTACCTATCTTTGCTGATGTTGTTATTGTTTTTTGTGTAACTGCAGGGCTTTTATCAGCGAACGTCGTTGTTTATTGAGTTGTTTTTGTTCTTGTTGTTGTTGTTGAGTTGACCGCATGAATGAAAGCGAATAGGAAAAAAAGGCAGACACACACTTGTTGATTTCTTTATGCGATTTCGTGGCTCGTTATAATTAACGTTTCTCCGTCTTTTTATTATTATTATTATTATTTTTTGTGTTTTCTTGTTGGCACTTTTTGGGGGGATTTTGTTTGGCGTTTTGGTTTTTTATTATTGCACTTGTTGCCGCCGCTGTGAAATTCATCTCGGGCGTTTTTAATGAGTGCCTTTTTGCAGGCCAGTTGTATAACTAACCGCACTGCATATTCATTTATATCAATCAAAGCGGAATAAATAGCTTATAAACATTGTCTTTGTTTTTGCCTTTTACAGTTGTTTCTTCCAACGTCACTGGAATTCAAATACGGCTTCGCAGTGCCGTTACAAAGCGCTCCTCTCACTTATCACTCTCTCCCTGTCTCTCTCGCCTCTTGTTCTCTTCTGCCCACTCTCCCTCTCTTTCTCACACACACAACAGAACGCAGCTGTTACGTAGTTGTTTTTGCCAAAGTTTGCTTTATAAGTTTAATATGCATTAATTGCATAAATTTAGAGCTTCTTAAAGAGGTCTTTTAAAGGGGCGGGGGAGCGAATGGAAAACTGCAGTTGATTGAACCCGCTCATCACACACACACACTTGTCGCACACCCACGTTCCAATTGGAGAATGGAGGAGAACCCGGCGCACCGATTGACAATTTCAGACTGAAATCAAAGTCGCCAAAATCGAACGAAAAAAGGGGGTAAAAATAAACAAAAAAAATGAAACTAGAAAACGCGTGTGTAAAACAAGCCGCGATAATATCACATTTTGTTGCTAATATTATGTTTAACAGAGTTCAAAACGGAGCCACGCGAAAATAGCAACAAAGCGAATTTTTGAGAGTGAGAGTGCAATTGTGGGTGAGTGTGTGTGATTTCCATCACGTCAATTTGTAGCGATCGCAGGTTAGCGTTGCCAGATTGTAGACAAAAGAGCGATCCGGTGGCACTGCTTCCAGATGATACAGCTTTTTTGACATTCCGAAAAGCTTTCAATGGGCGCAAAATTTAAACTGAAATGTCTAGCTCTAAAACGTAAGGAAGAATATTGGGTACCAATCAAAATCTTCCAATGAATTTTAGTTTAAAATATTAACTATAAATATACTCTTAAGCAATTCTATGACTTTAAAATTACGAAATATAAAAATAGCACTTAATCAATTCTATAATTCTAAATTAGTTTTCATGTTTGAGTAAGTTTTCCGAATTCTAAATTTATAACTTTACTTATTCTTTTTACAAAAATACCTATCGACAACATTTTTTAGTTACTCAATATTATTATTTATTATTATTTAACTAATAATTGTATATTAATTATATCTCCTTTCAGTTAAAATGTACTTAGACAGTTTGTCTAACTTAAGGTCAATTTATTCCTATCAAAGGTTATAGGATACTAATTCAGTATTTATGTGTTAAAAAAATTTTTTTAAGTATATTTTTATTATGTGTAAATTAATATACCAAATGGGATCTTTTAAAAGTTGCAGGCTTATTCGTACAACATTTTTTGTTGTTTAACAAAAAAAAAGTTTTTTAAATTATAAAATTGAACTCAAATTTACATCCATGTAAAAATTGTATGTGTAGTAATTTTTTTGATAATGCCTTGGTGATCAAATCTACTAAAACGCTAGAACGTTTGTTTTGCTTAAAATAGAATATTTTATTTTACGCGTCTTATTTAATTTTTTTTTCTATAGTAGTTATCTTTCAGTTCCATGTTTATATAAAAGGAAATTTGTTTAGCCGACCATACTGCAGTATAGCCATGACATTTATTTCTGAAAATGAAAAATGAAACACATTTGGTCAAGCAAATGTTAGAAAAATTTGTTTATTGAGATATTTTTTGCCAGCTAACTGGTACAGTGGGTCACTATGGGTATACATATACATAATTGGGGCTTTTATATAGTTATTAATTATTTTATATCTGAATGCTCACTATGATTATAAAATATATATATTTTAGTTGGTTTTGCATTGTGTATGCACTTAAAATTGTACATGTTCGAATATTTACAGTTGTTTTAGCACATGTACCACGTGTAGGGTGTTAAATAAATAATAAATTAGCATAAAGCAAGAAGCTTATAGCGATTATAGAGAGAGGGGAGCTGAATGCAAGACTTTCTCCATAAGGTTATGAAATGCGCTCTCTGGGCGACGACATTTTTAGTGGTTTTACACTCGTTTAATAATGGTAAATATAATATTACGTATATCTTTAACTAGGTAGAAGAGTGCTCTCCGAATACGATCAGACACCGTTCAAGTTAGTGGTTTGGGTTGTGTTGTGTTGTGTTGTGTTGGGGGTGTTAAGAGTAGAACGTAAATTGCACTAGGCCTTAGATTAGACATAAGCTTAAATTGTCACGTGCTGGAACTTGAATACAGGTACGAATTAGCAGCGGTCGCGGTTGTTGTACGCCTTCACCTTGGCCACGGTGCAATCGAGTGCGGCCCGAATGTCGGTAAACACAGGAACGCCCTGCCTTTTGGCCAGATCGATCAGGTACGACCGTCCGCGATTGTAGTCCTTGATGGCCGCCACAGTCAGCTGAAAGTGCAATTTCAAAATCTAGTTAGTTAAACTGCAATTCAATGGTTAAATATGAAAACTAAAGCTTCACGAGTAGCTTAACAACATTAAAACTGGTTGTAAACGGTGCAGCTGTAGCTTTTCTATGGGGTCAATGTTTGAAGCAAACAATCTTGATATTTTAATTATGGAATCTGAATTCTGTTTGCGAATCGCCGCAACGTTTACAACCAGGAACTTTCATTTGGACTTTTTAAAAAATTCATATAGATTCTTAGTACTTTTTAGTACATAGATAATTCTTTTAGATTGATTTTTGGATATTGTTTAGCTATATACTTTTTGCTAAAAACTTTATTAAACGAATTTGGTATTGAATTGGCTTTCGCTTAAAAGTTGTAACCTGAAATATTTATTTTGATTTTGTTCTCAACATATTTTGGGATATTTGTTGTTGTTGAAATTTGATCTACTTTTAATAGTACAACCAAGTGGCCCAATGAAATCAAGCACGAGAATAGTTTTTAGATTTTACATAAATCTCTCATGAGCTCAAGGCCACCCTTTTGTGGGTGGCTGACAAACTCTTAATTTATAAATGCCCTTGTTAATTGTTTTTGAAAATAAAACTCTTGATATTTAAAGTAAAACCATAACTAACCTTCTCGCCACCCAGGACACAGTCTTCGGGCAGCATCTGCACCGCCAGCACCACGTTGTACATGAGGCCGATGCAGTGGGCGGCCAGGGTCATGGGCGCCAGGGAGCGGGTCTCGTTGGTGATGACGAAGAGCAGCACCCGGCTGGAGTCGAGGAGGGCGGGGTTGTACAGGTTCTGGCGCACGGCCACCGGTGGCAGTGACCAGCTGTGCGACTCCTCGGCGACGGTCAGCTCCTCCTGTTCCTCCAGCTGCAACTCATTGCCCTTACACTTTCTGCGGGTGCGCACAAAGGATCTCTGCTGCTGCTGTTGCTCCTGCGGCGGCGGCGCCGTCGTCTGCTGCTGCTGCTGCTGCTGAGTGGCACTGACACTGGCTTGATCCTGGTTCTGGTTATGGATCATCTGCTGGATACTCTCGTGCAGCGCAGGGGTGTGGAAACTCACGCCCTTGGACTGCAGATAGGGGATGGCCAGATCCTGACGCCACTTGGTGCGCAGCACACAGCTGCCGCCCAGATAGACATCTCGGAGATCCAGGCCACCGCCGCAGCAGAGGGCATCGCCGGCACTCGCTATGGAACTGCTGCTGGAGAAGACCGAGTCATTGGAGTCGCTCTCCTCCTCCTCGGCGGGCACAACAACCGAAGCGGTCACCGGATTGGCCTTGGTCTCTATCGTTTTGGTGGTGATTATCTCGGTTGTCTCGATGGACTCCACATTCAGCAGAATCTGTGGCCGTGGGCTTTTGCCCAAACCGCTCGATGCCGTGGGCTGGGGCGAAGAAGTTCCACTGTCCCGGCTGCGACTGAGCAGCTCGAACAGACTCTGCCGCTCCAAGTCATGGCCAATTCCGCTGCTGCTGTTGGACGGAACGCTGGCGTTGCTCGACGTGCGCGAAATATTCTTGCTGGCCGAGTAGTAAATGTCCACATCGGGAGCTGCAGATAAAGAGGTAAACAAATCCATTAGTGAATCAATATCAAGGGTTTTTAGTAAAAAGCCAAAATAATTATAAACTTATACTGTTTCGGAACAAAAAAAAAACAATCACTTGGAATCGAAATAAAAGCATTAACCATAGTGATCTTCTTTAGTAAATTTATCCCCATCCAACCTATCAAGATCCAAATCCTTTTTGTTAATTTAAAAATGAATTTATTAAACCAAATTAACTTAATATGTTTTATTCCTGTTTAAGCACGAGCACAAGTAATTTATTTAAGTTACATTTTTTTGTTTAGAAAAATTGTTTATAATTATTTTTAATTTTTTTTACTCAGAACTAAGCTTTTTTGAGTCTTTTATTTTGCTGACCAAAAAATAATGATTGTTGTTGTTTGTTATATAATAAAACAATCATTATTCTTGAAAACTATTACAGAAAAAATTTTTTTTCTTTTTTGGTTTTTGAAAATAAAACTTTTAATAATTATGGTTTTCCAAAATTAAGCTTCTTTGATTGTATTTGTATTTTTTTGATCTAAAATATAATGATTGTTGTTGTTTGTTCTTGAATACTATTACAGAATACAAATAGTATTTTTTTTGGATTTTAATATAAAAGTTATAATGATCATGGTTTTTCAAATTTAATATAAGGATCATGATACTGTTTCAAATAGAAACGAGATTACAATTTAATTAATCATAATATAGACAATACTCACCATTGGTGAAGTAAACCTGCGGTGGCGGCACATTGGTGCCCTTGATGGGAGAAATGCAACCACTCTCGTGGATCTCCTGCTGCAGGACGGACAGATACGCCGAGATCACACAGAACAGATCAAAGTCGATGAGCTCCTGGCTGGGAGGGATGGGCTGCTGGCTACAATCGCTGTCCTTGCTGCCCTCGCTGGCATCCACATCCAAATCATCTGGGCCAGATCTTGCACTGTGCGTTTGGAGCAATTTCAGCGATTCGCGTTGGTTGATTATGATCTTGGTTAGATTGTCTAAATTAACTAAACTCTGAGCATAGCCTAGGAATAAGAGAGCACGTTTGCACTGTTCCACGGTGAGCAGATCGCTTTGCGGGTTCACACGATCAAAGGCGCCGCGAACGGTACTAGAAAGATTAAAACCAAACAAGTTAGGTGGTTTCATGTCATAGGTTACTTCGATCTAGATCACTTACTCTAATATAGAAGATATTTTGGACGGTGGATCCCTGATGCCAGACAGGATATCCTTGGTGCGCTGCAGACCCAAAGGTATGTTATCCAGTACGGGTAGACCGCGACGGGAGACCAGCTCCTTAAGTATCAACTGGTTGCGACTCAAATCGAGGTATTCTCTGAAAGAAAAAATTAGAAATTATATAAAGGAAATAATTGTGTGTCTCAACAAAGAGTTTAGTTTTCTTTCTTAAAAAAAAGGGAATTAATAATCAAGTTATAAAATAAATAAGTAAGAAATACTTTTAAGGCAATTGAAATTTATTGAAAAATATAATATTTTATACATTAGACTAAAGACTGGATTATTTTATCACAATAATTTTCAATTTGCGTTTAACCATTTTTTAATTTTATATATTTGTAATTAATATTTATATTTTATTGAACCCAAAATGTTCAAAATTATAAGTTTAGCTGTTTTTTTTTCGACAAATAAC